TCTCTTCCTTGAAGTCAGAGGGCCAAAGCAGAGTTTTGGCTGATGCCAGTTTACTCCAAATTCAGACCGGTCTTAATGAGAGCAGAACTTGGCCCATAAACTCTGCTGAATTTGCTTAGTTGATTTTTCAGTGGGATATACACCTCTACCCCGATATAGCATGAATTCGGATATAACGCAGTAAAGCAGTGCTCCGGGGGGCGGGGATGTGCACTCTGGTGGATCAAAGCAAGTTTGATATAACATGGTTTCACCTATAACGCGGTAAGATTTTTTTGGCTCCCAAGGATGGCGTTATATCAAGGTAGAGGTGTATCTTGTGGCAATGTGTGAGTATGCATACATGTCTTGCAGCAAATGCACCTTTTTCACATTCAAACTCTTATCAAAATGATGTGTCTTTTTTTGCTAACAGGACAACATTGAAATAACATCCCACTGGCGTTGTGAAAGGGACAATTGAACTAAGTAAGAATTACGCCAACTTCTGTTCATTGATCATCCACTGATTCAATACACTCAGCAGTCTTGCTAAGTGAAGAAACATTTCTGTGAAGAGGCTAATTTATTTAGAGAGTTTGTGACCTGATTTTTGCTTACTTAATTTAAATCTTTATCAATCCAGCTCAAAGGGGACACACTAATGGAGACAAAACATTAAAACTCTGAATTCATAATGGAAGTTATCCCATCAAAACATTTGTTAGGAACATGCATCTGAAATCCCTTTCACTGATGGACCAAGATCAGAGAAGACATTCAGGACTCCAGTTTCACTTCAAACTAGGAACTATCTTTTCTGAAATTAAAACAAAAAATACTTGTTTTTCTTTGAAATGAAATTAGGTCAAACACTAGAAACACTCTGAAAAGTGGAAAGTTATTATTATTTTTTTTACCCATTTTTAATTTAGTTGCCATTTCACACTGCATGCAAACAGAAGACTTCTTCCTACCCCCAAATCCTGCAGTGCCTAGCTGTGCCCATGCAACTACCAGCAACTAGTGTTTTGATGATGATGCATGAAGAACAATCCAGCTTGCTCTCCTACATCACTTTGAAAAGCCAGGACAGTAAACCAAGTAAATCTGCTGCTCTGGAGCTGTGCAGGCATACTCAGTTAGGCAAATGGAATTTGTGATTATATTAATGCCTCCTTGCGTGAAGGTCAAGTTGACTGTTCAGTTCATTGTTTGTTAATCAAGTTTGCAATTGGTGATCTGGTTAGACCAACAGGTGCTTTTAGATAAGAACGGTCATACTAGGTCAGATCAATGGCCCATCTAGCCCAGTATCCTGTCTTCCGACAGTGGGTAGTGTCAGATGATTCAAAGAGAATGTACAGAACAGGGCAACTAACAAGTGGTCCATCCCTTGTCGTCCAGTCCCATCATTTGGCTCTCAGAGGCTTAGGGACACTCAGATCATGAGTTGCATCCCTGACCATCTTGGCTAATAGCCATTAATGGACCTTTCCTGCATGAACTTATCTAATTCTTTTTTGACCCCATCCCCTGGTAACGAGTTCCACAGGTTGACCCTGCATTGTGCGAAGAAGTACTTTCTTAGGTTTGTTTTAAACCTTCATTTGGTGACCCTGGTCCTTTTGTTATGTGAATGGGTAAATAATGGGTTATTTTTTTTTCAACACTATTCATGATTTTATAGACCTCTATCATATTTCATTCCCCTCCCAAGCCATCTCTCTTCCAAGCTGAACAGTCCCAATTTTTTAAAATCTCTCTTCAAATAGAAGCTATTCCATACCCTTAACCATTTCTGTTTCCTATCTCTGTACCTTTTCCATTTCTAACCTACCTTTTTGCCAGAAGCATCTGTGGTCACTCTTTCTCTCCCCCCGCCCCCATCTATGTGTGGCCAGCAGAATATGACCTTTTCCCTCAGATAGGTTAGACTATTGCAATGCACCCTATGTAGGGTTACTCCTTAAATTGATTTGGAAGCTTAGATGGGGCAAAATGCAATTGGCCCTTTAACTAGGGTATCCCACTCTGATCTGCCTATCTATTGGTTTACAGATGGAGCTTGAGATGTTGTTTTTGGCACCGGCCTACCTCAGAGACTGTCTCTTTCCCATGCCTTTCTGCCACAGATGCAGTCAGTGAAGGTACTTGAGCTGGAGTTGGAGCCTCCTGAGTTTAAAAGAGTAGGTACTTTCTGCAGAGCACTCTGCATGAGGACCCTTGACTCTCGAGTTCACTTCCCACCTTTGTCTGAAATAGCCATCATCTGCTGCCCTGGCATGTAGAGCTGGTGAGGGTAGGGAGAGAATAGATTGTGCTGTATGATGGGGGACTTCTATGGTTTGTTGCTTTGATTGGATTGATTATTTTTGTATGGAATATCTCTTTAATGCTTTTAAAAAATATTTTAATTGGCAGTAGGGCCTGTAGGGCAGTGGGGAGAGGCACTTTGTTTTGATTTCTAAATATAAATAACAACTTTTTTAACTGCCAGAGTTTGACTGTCACGCTGTATGTCTATCAGTAACTCCGTCCACAAAGAGAAATGCCTTTTTTCTTCCAACCCAAGAAATCCTAGGGGAGTGAGTCTCCTGTGGAATACATGTCCAGCCCTTGGATCACAACAGACCACAGAGTATTGCAATGTAAAACATTAAGCTTGTGACTGAGTTAAATGTTACATTGACTGATTAATAAAATAATTTTTCCCAAGAATTATTTTTCCTTTGGTAATTACTGTTGGCTGGTAAGAAAGAAAAAAAAAATCAGAGTATGGATACAAAAGACCAATTCTCAGAGGACTTAATGTAATTGTCACATTACAGATGGCTGTGTGTTCTTTTATAGTTAACTCTTTGCTTGGCTGCTTTCTTCAAAGCTGCGTACACTTAAGATGTATTCTTTGATATTTGAATGTAAGGAAATGGAAAATTAAAAATAAAAATATAGGAAATTCCCATTCGAGAACTCTGGTAAGTGCTTGGAGCACCTTTAATTGTTTTATTTCATGTTACTATCTTAAAATATTGTGTCTACAATTGGAGTGGGTATTTTATTTAGTTATTTATTTTTAATTTGGGACCATCTTTACTTCCATCCATGTTAATGTTTTGGGCCTGAAGGTGGTTGACCTCTGTGAAAGTGCACAGTGGAAGGAGGGGAAGCAAGAAGCCTGCCCTGCACATGCATCCCACCACAATGGCCACTCATGGTTCCTGCTCCCTCCTGAGCACAGGGACTGCTCCTTGCTGGTGCTCCTGGGGCACAAGCCATCCTGAAGGAGGGACATAGCCCTAACCCACTCGCCACTGGCCACACTGGACGGCTCTCCTGTTAAAGTTGTTCCAGTTTGTATATATAATTAAATAGCTGTTGGATCAGAGTCTTGAATGTGGGTTTCCCACAATGACTGTTTAATGATTTACAGATGGAATAGCTTCAACAGGAGAATGGAGAGAGCTCCCCCCTCGAATACTCTCTAACCCAGTGGTGAGGCCACTGTCCTGAAATATGGGAAACCCAAGTTCAAATGCCTTCTCCGCATCAGACAGAGAGGGGAAACTGAAGTGAGGTCTCTCACATTCCAGGTAAGTGCTCTAACCATTGAGCTAAAAGTAATAAAGGGAGGTCACTGCCACCCAGAAGAATCCATTCAGGGTCAATTCATTTGACCCAATATGGATTTATTTCAATTTGCTAGATTATTATTTTTTTGTAACTTTTAGATTTGATTTGGGTCAAACTGAGCTTTTTAAAACTTTTTTTTTTTTGTCAGAACGGCCAGCGAATCGAAAAATCAGTTATTTCTCCAGTTCTGGGTAATAACTACCCTTCATTCAGAATAAATGTAAAAAGGCAATTATGTTCCTTTATAGAATGGATAGCTGAAACATTAGGAGCCACCACACAAAACACAGGCCACATTCAAGGCTATTGAGGAATCTTGGCTATGTGGGTGCAGGTTTTGTCTGGGGGCTGAATACAAATGCTGGGGGTGGGAAATTGTTGTTTTATAGGGATGTGTGAGTGAGGCAGCACCACAGAAGGAAGCTCAGGGACAGCCAGAGAAGCACTTGTAGCATGATGCTGAGAAACCATTGACAAAGAGAGCTTTTGAGTGGAATGCTGGCTGGAAAGAGGCTTGCAACTGTGAGCAAAAAAACCCGTCTCCTGCTGTATGAATCCTACTGTGTTCCGAGAAACAGGACTTTGTGTATGTTATTTGTAAATAAACAGAATTGCATCAAAGAAATGCCTGACTCCAACAACAATTTCTCTTCCTACTGGAAACAACTTGCAAAACCTTGATTATTGGCTAACCACTTGTGTTGAAAGGGATAACAGGTGCAACACAGGCACACTTCACTTGTGAACCAGTTTGCTCTAAGAGGCATTATGCTTCCCAGGGCTCCCTTTCAGGTGGATTGTTCTGCATCATCCCCAAAATAAGGCTGTGGTGAAAAGCCACAACAGAGCTTGTGAGACTGTTGGATCACTACCTGTCTGTAGGTCGTGAACAGTTAGGTATCTGCATTCATTTAAAAGCAATCCTTTGCATCCCATGACACATCACTTTTACTTTGCACTGTCAGTTCCAGAAACAGGGAGTGTCTGAAGTTTGAGTGACACACAGCAAACAATTTATTTCCAGTCCTTCTCTGCATTTAGTTCAATTTCTCTGGTAAGTCCCTGATAGATTGTTAATCTTTTTGAGGGGTGGAAAAGCTACATGTTTCTCTGGAGAACCTTGTGAGTTGCAGCATATGTTTGAAGTTAAGTGGAGTTGTTTTACAGGAAATTTGCTTCCTGCATTCTATATATTTGCATACTTACCAAACAACGACAAAAAAATGAACAGTCCATGTTAGTCATGTTGTTCATTCCTTACTGGGATACAATACTACGAGTGTGTGTGTATGAGCTTGGCGACTGGCAGTCTTTAGTCTGCAAATTGATATCCTATAAAATGAGCTCTCTCAATCTTTGATCTTGTTGTGTTGGGGGCATTCAAACAATGTCACTGGGTTTTACCTCTTGTGCTTTCAGGAATTCCTATGACCTTAATGTTTTTCTTCCTCCTCAGCTGTTCAGATCTTCTTGTTTGTCACACATTTGTTTCATCTGTGACTTTACATCCCTGGGTATGTCTACCCTGAAGAGAAGGGGGGGGGGGGAAAACCCAACCCAAAAACAAAAACCTGCAGCAGTTGGTCTTAGAGCCCAGGTCAACTGACTTGGGCTCACAGGGCTTGGGCTTATGGGGCTTACAAAAGCAGTGTAGACATTGCCACTCAAGTGGAAGCCCGGGCTGTGAAACCAGGTGAGTTGGGTGGGTCTCAGAGTTTAGCCTCCAGACCAAGTGAGAACATCTACACTGCTATTTTTAGCCCTATAGCCCAAGCCACGCAAGCCCAAGTCAGTTGACCTAGGCCCTGTTTTTTTGCAGTGTAGACGTAGTAGTCAGTCTCATTCAAGTGTAGGATCTTTAAGGCAGATGCTCTCCATTCCACATCTCTCAAAACTGTTAAAAATTGAGTGTATGTTGTTTGCCTTGATTTTTTTCCCCCTCAAGACTTTCTAATCTTGGTCCAGATCCTGAACTGATATAAATTGGTGCATCTCTGGCATCTGACTCTCTGACTTAAATGGAGTTGTGCCAATTTACACATGCTCAGAATCTGGCCTCTTGTGTTTTAATCCTGTACTGAGGTTCATGGCAATGTTCAAGAGCCCCACAGAGATGGTAGCTAGCTTCTTTGGAGTCTCTTGCTTTCCTTTGATACACTTTGAACAATACTTTTTCTCTTACCCACTGAATCATCTCCACCTGTCCACCAAAGGTCAGGAAGAGAGACAACAGCTATCAATCACTGAACCAAAATGTCAATGCAAAAAGTTTTTGGTTTAATTTTGGAGCCAGGGTATGTATGAGCCCTTCTCTGCCATACTCTCCCAGTGGCTTTCCCTGTCCTGTGCTAACAGATGCATGTTCATTTCCACAAGCTGCTTTGGTGGTCTTGCAAACTAGGGGTGGTCTGATTTACATAACTCTTTAGTGCAGTCAAGACAGCAGCATTCCTGTGTGTTTTGTCATCGACCCTCTTAAGTGTATTGTAGTTAGATGGAATGAGCTCGGTTGTGAACTGACCCAGAAAGTCAGCTGTCCCTCTTAATATTTTCCCTAACTGGGGAAAGGGAATCTAATACAAATCCTACTGGTGACACAAATCTCAAGAGTTCTGCACTTTTCTCTCATTCTGTATCATTGCTGTGCCTGCTGATTGCTGCAATAATTGGAATTGTCCCAACAGTGCTTTTATCTAGGGGATAAAAAAGGTATATTTCCCTCTTCTGTAGCTGGACTAGCCACTTGTTTGTTTGCAAAAATGATTACCTCTTGGCAGTTTTAACTTGTTTACTTTTTTCCCCTCCTAACTTACATGCAACCACAAGAATCTCTCCTATTATGAACCACTAAATGTTAATGACCCATTACAGAGCGAGTCATGCACTTTTGTAA